ATGCAAAGGTACGATGATTTATTATTGAATTCAAATTTAAATGTCATTTTATGCAGTGACCTACTCAATAACGAAGTACACTTGACACTTACAGACAATCAGAGTGACTTTTCCACTATGATGTTATACATTTATTTACAAAAAAAAATGAAATGACAAATAAACTTAAACATTTTTAAACTTGAGTGCCAGATGTCATGAATTATATTATTTGCATTGAATTAGATTTCTGTTTTTTTTTTTTTTTTTACATTCTGAATGAAATGTATTCCAAAGCAAGTCTCCTATAGCACTAAAAAGTGATTTCAAGTTCTTTATTTGATATCGTTTATCTTAAATTATAATCCGTTAGTATACCTTAACATAATTTAACTATTAATCAAAAATATTGTAGTGAAATCATATTATGTAAAATAACAACATATGCTCAACAACTTACAATAAAATTAACTAGAAATAAAACTCATTATAGGTAGCTGTTTTGAAATGTTTGTCAGACCTAAAAACCCAATCATAAAACAAACTCGTTATTGAGATTAAAATATCAGTTTTTAGACAATTAACAATTATGTATATGCTTAAATCTATTCTGAAAAAGTGAATAAAAACGGTAAATGAACATTCGATAGCAATAAATAATATACTATATCACCATAGATATGCGTAATTTATAATTTTCATTACAAGTAAAATGCAACATGTATATAAATATATTTATACATCCATTGGAGTAGTATTACCATTAAATTATTCAATGAAAATTACAATATATATAACATAATAAAAATATAAACACCACTTGTTGCAGCTTTTCGGGATATTTGTCTCACTTCATTCAATAGCAACAGACATTGGAGCTTGTTATTATAAAAAAAAACTAATATAATATATTAGAATGCATTGTTTTAATCACCATTCACAAATTTGACAAACAATTTTGCGCTAAATTTGATTAAAACTTATTTACATAGGTTTTTACAACAATTATGTGATTTTATAGTATTTTTAA